ATTGTCCGTGTCTGTCGATCGATACGCTCGACGACAGTGTCTGTCGTTCTGTTTGGTGAATACAGTGTTAAAACCCGGTGTCGTCTGGCCGTGTTGATCAACACTGATAGCATGTTCGTGACGTGTTTCTCTCGCTGGAAATGCGAAATGCTGCTTCATGACTGGTGTGTATCAACATCTGGAGGAGTTATAGAGAGCGAAGTGGTTGAGTGTTCTGGCCGCTTCACTTGTGTTAGTAATGTCATCAGTCTTGATGGGTTGGTATGTGACGAAATCTCATCACGGATTCAGATGTCTGACTGGCTTCTCTCAACTTGTGTCATTAATTTAAAGTGAGTTGTGTTGGTAAGTGCAGACCAAGTGGTTAGCGTGGTCTCGATTTTCGTAACTGGTGGCTACAGATGTCATCTGATATGGTTGAGAATCACTCACAATGGTGCAGTTGCATGCACTCTTCGTTTTGCCTTAAAATGTGATTTATGAGTTTGTATTATCGCTTATTTTTCTTTTGGTATACCTGAGTTTTTCTTCTACATGTGATATTGTTGCTAGTACTACTGTTGTGGGAATTGTTCTGAATAAATTTTATCTGGTTTTGCAAATGTGATGTTGTAACTTTAACCGGTCCATGCATATGCCAGGCTCTGCGTTGAGTATGACTTACTGACTGTTAGATGTTGCATGATCTTCAATGATTTTGCTGCCTTTGTATTGATATAAAATTCTTTGTTTTTGTTAACTTCAATATGTTCATAGTGGTTTTGCAACTAAAGTTTTCATATCTGCAATTTATATTATATTATACATCATATCGGTATATCTTTCATTATAGAAACTTGACCTGTTTTGACAAATTCCACATAATCATTGCAGTGTAATGATCATAAACTTTGTGCTCATTAGTTTACATAGAAATAATCACATTGCTGAAACACTACAATGTCCAAACGATTAAATCTGTTTGTTGTTTGCTATCTGTATTATGTTAATTAGTACTATTATAGGACTAATGATTCTCATCGATTTAGCACGCTTCGCTTTCTAATAAATGAGGTTTTTATTACCGAAAGTCTGTTTGGAACTTTTAATAAATAGCTGATTGTTAGTTGTACATAACCATATATATAACATCTGCTTAAGCATTCGAGATAAAACTAACTAATGAATACTATTCTGGTCTAGAATCTCCTACTGATTACTTTCAACTGACATAAATACAGTTCAGGTTTCCCTGACACAGCCGACGTGTTTGTAAAGTGAACTGAATATGAATAGGCATTATAAAATGTCGAATAAAATAAACACTCGAAGTGATTTATTACTTTTAAATCCTTTAACTATAAAAACCGCAAATATATCTAGTATCACACATACAATAATTACAGTAAAGTGTCTAACAGACAAAGGAATTTTTAAATACTGTTTGTACATACATCTTAAAAGCTTTTATGTGCATATATTATTGATAATTCTAAATAGTGGAATAAAACAACTGTCCAGTAATCTGTTTTCTTTTGGCTTCCTAACATAAGTATTTATGCATTCTATCAATTTACTAATGAATTATTTATTTCTTTGAATAAAACACTCACTGTTCACCGAATAAATCAGTATTTTTCTCAATAGTACCAAACAGTAGTTTAAGCGTGAATAGATGAATTCAGAGGATGAATTAACATTTGAATATAAAACAAAGACTCAGAAAGTTCAGGTTTAATCTGAACACGTATCCAGAGATAGCTGTCCTATGTTATCTCTCAATTCATTTTTGATGAAGATACTTTTAATCCACCTAACCTCAGGTAGCGTAAAATCAAGAGCTGATTATCCAGATTTATAAAAACTTATATTTCACACAACCTGTGAGATGATGGCGAACTACCAAGCGTACTTAGCGGAAAATGAATCGAAAAAGTCAGGAAATATGTGTACATTTACAATCAGCATACAAATAAACATGGTATTTATTATTCAAGTATATACAAAGTGCGAGTAAATATGGCACAGACAAACTGAAATAGTTTACATAAGTTAACAACAATAGTTAATCAAATAATATCAAAATGCTTACAACTTTCCTGTTTGCTCACTGTTGACGTATTCTGTATTCATCAGTAAATACCTTGACAGAATATTAAATTACCTAAAGTAGGTACATTAAACAAACCAGGAAATAGTTTTACTTCATACTTTACAGAATCAAAAACTAAGATTCCGTGCGATTCATTGTTTATTCTTAATGTTGAATCTTTAGAATCAGTACAAATTAACTGAGTTCATTTTTTTGGTTTGTTTCAGAATTTTGCGAAAAATCCGTCACTACTGAAAGAAATCTTTTAGGTTACAAGTTATCCTATTCACACTTGACAGAATTAGTTGGCCTAAAGTTATATTTTAATCTGTGTTTCATTGGCCCAAGTTAGATATGACAAAATTAAAAAGCCACAGTGTAGTTTATTGTTTCTTGAGTATGCACAGAATAAATAGTTCTTTGATGCTATTCATTATACTCTCTATTTCGTCTTGCTTTTTACAAAAAAATTATGAATATTTCAAAATGGATCATGCAGAAAATCCAGTGTTTATTATTCAGGATTTCGAGAAGCAGCATAATAAAAATAGGTCTACTCTCTCTGTAACCGGTAATCGATCACTTCACTAACTTACTTTTAATCATATTGAAGCACCGATATATATTTCTGTTAAAGAAATCTGTAAAACTGTTTACATTTTATCTCTAATACAAAACTGAGTAAAAAAAAGTTATTAAAATGGAAACTGTTTTAAATATCTATCAGATAACGATCTGTCCAGTTAAAAAGGTCGTACTATGGCTCAAAACCCAATAGGATTTTGGAGATGAAATCTATGTTATGAGAAGTATCTGTGGTAAATGTAGAAAAAAACTCGATTAGCATTTGATTGTAGATTATTAGACAAAAGTTAGGATTTACCTAACACATTCTTATTGAAATAATCAGAGTAATTGTCCTTTGAATGTACATATATCCTCAAGTTGTTGTTAATACTGAAGCTTAAATACAGTCCATATCTCCTTGAATGCCAACACATTATTTACTAAGCTTCTAGGTGTAGATAGTCAGCAGCTTTTTCAACAGGTATAACATTTATCACCTGTGAAGATTTCCGTTTTTTGTTCTATTTGCAATCTGGGCATCAAAAGTGAGATTTGGTTACATCTAGATGGCGAATCTAAATAGGAAAAAACTTATTTCCTGTATTCTACTGATATGAACAATCTAATATTATCATCAAAACTTATAACTACATGCAATATCGAGATATCCGCTAATGACGAACATTTGCTAACGAAACCTCATTAAAATTCACTTTTGATTAACAACATTGGAAAATCCCAAATCTCTAGGAAATAATCATCAATAGTATTTCATTATTTAGTTTTGACAATGTATTGTTGTATTGTAGTAAACAAGAACACGAGTGGTGACAACTATGTGAACTTTAACACAAAATTACAGAATGTCTTAGTAAAACCTGAGAACCAGCCAGATATTGTATTCCTGACTAGTGTTGTATACTACTTATGTCGATATAAGTGGCACACACCACAGTATATTTGCTTTATGTCCAAACAATAGTATGATAATACTTCGAGAAAAAGGAACATTAATGCTTTTGTTTTATTCATTTTAAATAACCTTACAACGTTCATTGTTTATTTAAATTTATGAAGCATCATTAATGACCAATAGGAAGTAAGTAAACAATATCAATAAACAAAACTGGTATCAGTCAATAACAAATAATGATAATAACAATAATGAAAAAAAAATTGATGAACAAATGTTCTTTGTTATAAAGAATAAAAATATCATAAATGAGTGAATAATGTTGAAGCATAAAAACAAATATACGAATAATTCACCTTATTTTCGTGATGTTAATCTGGTAGTCATTGACAACGGCTTTGAGACAATAAAACTTAAACAGAATGCGTAAAAGGTCCTGTTGAATATGTTTAAATTTATGGCAATGGCACAAACAAAGACAGTGTGTTAATAGATAGATTATAACAGTTGAAAACTAAATATCATTGATGATCGCTTTTCGTTAGACGTTAATTTAGTCACGAGACTTTAATTTATGGACAAGCCAATGAAATTAAACATAGCACGTCTTTGATTTCAGGGTGAAATTCATTCATTTATATATTTAAATAGGATTTTGGTATTAAAGACGATGTCATTTCGTGGTGACAGCCCTAACACTAATTTTCAACCCCAACGTCTAACTCTAAATCTTAATTCCTTATGATAATCTAGAACCATCTTCTGTCCATAGTGAATAGGTGGATTTTCACGAAGTCACTTTAGCATCGGTCAAAGTCCCTTTGTAAGTTATGTTCTCATCGTTACTAACTAGTCTTATTTAAAATGACCGTTAAAAATTTAATAATTCATGAATATCAAAACAATATTTTGTACAATTGATTCACTTGAACACTGATTCGATGTGAGGATAGCTTTCGTTAACTGGCTGATCCATCATTAAGTATTAAATTGAGCAACTTATATTGTGGTGGACCAGACAAAATATTAACCCAAAAGATAATAACAGTTATTAATAACAAATAATAATATTCATATTTATGAGTTAAATGTTATAAACACAATAGAAATAGGGAACGTTACTTAGTTCACCAGGGGAGTACGTGTTCTAAGTTGAATTGCTATATGATAATTAGGAGTAATTGGATTATAGTATGAACTAAGAATCCCAGAAATAACGCAATTGAATCAAGAAGTACTACACAAGCACTAACCAATGTATTGTATTTAGAATTCGAAATCAGGCATTCAACAAGTACAAAGAAATCATTAGTTCATTCAAACACCACATCCGCCACAGCTTAAATTGGAGTCCAGGTGTCTGTAATTGATTGCACGTCTTCTTCTTAAGTTCATCCTGTGTCTGTCCAACAGTGCATTGGATAAAGACTCTGTATTATCTAGGATGCACTCATTAGTATTAGAATTAACAACGGAAATCGGAACAGATTCACTTGATTTCTGGGATTGTGAACAATCACCATGCCGGTTGAATACTGAAACTACTAACTAGGATATGAACCATAGACTATCCTCCACCACGAAATAATGTCGGATCTTCATATCCACAAGTTATGAATAATGTGGTTTTATTTAAAACATCTTTCTCAATTTGACTAGAGTAAACATTGGAAGTGAATTTATGATAAGGACAAACAACAGTTGATATGGAATTATCTGAATTGTAATCAAACTCTAACTCATTTAATACTCGTGCTTCGCATCGAACAAGTTTCTCACAAGAAACAAATGCATCATGAGGACAAAGAATATTTGATATGACATCAAGATTTGATTCTTCTGAAATAGTTTCCTCAAATTTATTAGGAATGTCATTGCAGAGTAAAGGATCATTAGAAAAATCAGCATCAATTAAAACTACATCAGTTTTTCGATCATGATTAGGTTCATCCGAAATATTTTCCTCAGATTTGTAAGAAATTTCATCAGAAATATGTGAATCATTAGGAAAAATCATATCTGGTACAATAACATGGGAAATCTGATAGGTTGATTGATTAGAAATTGTTGTCTCGGAACGATTCTGAGTTTTATTTAACTCTGAACTGCTATATGACTCTAAATTGTTAGGATCAGAATTACAAATTGAGTGAATATGTCCAATACCACCACATTTAAAGCACTTAGAATTATAAAATTTACATGAATTAAAAGAGTGGAACCTGCCACAGGACAAACATTGACCAAACTTGTGCCCATCTTCGTGAACTGCATTGCAACTCCTCAATGAATTATCTGCATAACCTTGAGTATGCACTGGGATGGGGTGACGTAATGTAGTGGAATTTTTCATATCATCATGAATCATTTTACGAAATCGCCCTTCACTGCATTCGAAATTTGTATACTTAGCATAGTCTAAAAGTAGTTCCTTGAGAGTTGTATAAAGAAGAGAAATGGGCTTTTCCAGTGAAGCCAAAACTTTTAATAAGCTATATGCTTGTTTTCCGAGGAATGTGAGAAAATGTGCCACAATATTAATATTCTCATCATCTGGGTTCGAATCTCGCGGGGAGCGAGATTGTGAATGCTCACTGCTGAGGAGTCCCACAAGGGGAAGAAACGGCCATCCACTGCTTCCAGGTTTTCCATGGTGGTCTAGCTTCAACTGAATCATGTTCTCAACTATTAAAATCCTTATTGACTGGTACGGCTAAATCTATTTCGAAATCCCTAATGATTGTCGACAGACATGAGCATCAATCTTAGGGTAATTTTCTGATATTTTTAGAGTTTAATCCTTTTACAATTCACGTGTATTTTTTGGTAATAAACGTTTTTATTAACTTTACAAATTATCTATTAAATTTCAGAAATAACCAGAACAAATTAGATAATCACACAGGAAACTTCAGTAAATAGGCAATACAAAATTCTGAAACAATGACTACCTCACTTTTACCAACATCATAAATCTCTTATCAATATAATGATTTCAAAGCAACGTGTACCATTTATGAACTAAAACTTGTAAGAGATTCCTTGAAATTACCTCCATTAGTCTCAACAAATAAATCCTAAGAATATAAGAATTAGACTGTGAATCTATAAAAATGAATAAAAGTTGTAATGCCGATGTAATCTGATAACTTGTTATGACTTCGATAGGCTTAGAGTGGTGTATTGACTACAACATATAATCATTAACATGCTACTGTTTATTTCTTCCCTTATATGAGTTAACAGTCTCGTGTTTCCTCCATAACTTCATATATTTTATTTCCGTATTTCATTCAATCTTTTCGAATAACACTCGTGATATTTGGTAAAATTGGATAGTGGCTAGCAGTGAAATCAAGGAAACGTGTTTCTTCTTACTTATGACTTATCAGCTACATGTACGTATATCCTAGTGTCGATGTTCAAATTAAGACTCAAACCGAATATTCGCTTGAGATGCCTGAAACATTATCTACTAAGCTACTGAGTTATGATAGCAGCGGGCTCGTGAGATGTGTACGAATTTTGTTTTTTATCGGTTTATATCTTTCCGTTTTTTATGTTGATGACAACAAATAATCAGTCTATATGAACATTAGAACCAAGTACATCCAGTTGATGAGTGCTAAACGGGACTAAATGTGCATCCTTAATTTCGCTATTAGCTACTATTCAACTTTACCAGCACTAACGTGGGAATCTGCTCAGGATTCACATATACCAAAAATGGCTAGTCAGCCACAGTTCTTAAAGGCAACGACAGGAAAGTATATACCCTTGGAGGCATTATGTGTCTAGACTTGGTACAACTATTAATTCTGCTATCACTTTCATTCATATGGTATTTATTTTGTCAATTTCATCTTGCTGCGCTGAAATAGTTGGGTAATTTAGTCGAGTACACCTCCATTTAGGTTGCAAGATGATTATGAATGACTAATGGAATCAATTTTTATCTTTGCTGAAACTGGACTTGAAATTTAAACAGAAGTCGGGACCAGGATTTGAGAATGATTTGTTTCACACAGCTTATTCAAACGACATGATCGATGGACAGCGAAGAAAAAGTAAGAAAAAATATGGATTACCAAGTAAATGTGCATGGATAAGTGAATGAGTCATCATCAGTTTAATATGTACGTCGTGTTTAAGAGAACAAGCGAAGCATATATCTAGGCGGATAAATATAATCAATGACATATATACATATTGATTTAAAAGCAATCGATAGGAAAGCTAATTATGCGGGGATATACACTAATTACATCCAAACTTTAGAACAACACTATCTGTCTATAATTAATTGGTTCAAAAAGGTGTAACTAATTTGGACATGTACAAACCGGTGTGTTGGTAAGGTTAATTATTCACCTTCTTGATGTGTCTTAATTTCGTATCTACCACCTTGAATGTGTCGCGTTTATTCAACGTCCATGGGGAATTCTTACATTTGACGATGAAAACCGAGATTTTTCGGAAGTCACGAGGCCGATGCTCATTCTAACAAACACAGCAACAATTAATATAGGTACATGGAATGTCCAGATAATATGGGAGACTGGAAGCACCAGTCAATTAACTACGGAAATGAGGAGATACAACTTGACGGTTCTCGAGATAAGTGAAACACATTGGACTCAAGCTGGATAAAAACTGTTAGATTCTGGAGAGATGCTGATGTATCGTGGTCACGAAAATGAAAATGCTCCAAACACTCATGCAGTTGCTCTAATGCTGTGCAAAGAAGCACGAAGAACACTCATCGAATGGGAATCTCGTGAATCCAGGATCATTAAAGCATCCTACAAAACAAAGAAGGAGGGAATCACAATGAATATTATCCAGTGTTATGCGCCCACCAATGACAGCAACTACAACCATAAAGATCAGTTCTACCACACGCTTCAATCGGTCATAGTGAAGTGCTCGGGAAATTACCTGACTACGATGATAGGAGACCGAAACGCTAAAGTCGGAGTGGACAACATCCGGTATGAAGATATCATGGAACGATATGGACTGACTGGGACAAAGGAACGAGAATCATGACAAATCCGCAAATTTATGCACATTCAACAAAATGGTTATAGGTGGCACAGTATTCGCACGCAAACGTATACATAAGGCTACTTGGGTGTCGCCGTATCACACTACACAGAATACAATCAGAATGTCAATGGAAGATGTGAGAATCAGGCGAGGAGCTGACATTGCTTTGGATCACCATCTACTTGGTGGTTGCCAAGATGAATCTGAAGCTCAAGAAGCAATGGACAACTGAAGAAACAGAAGTACAAAGGTTTAATGCAGCCTTCCTTCAACATACTGACAAGCTCAACCAATTCAAGGTAACTCAACAACAGGTTTCAAGTGTTATAATATCTACCGATGAAAGAAGAAGAAACTACTATGGAGGACAACTGGAAACGGGTCAAAGAAGCACTAACTCCAACGTGTCAAGTGGTTCTTGTCCGCAACAAGCATTATCGTGTGGAGTGGATCTCCGTCGAAACTCTAGGCAAGACTCAGGAAAGCGAGAGCAAGCAGACAGTAATTGACAACAACCGAACAAGAACAGAGAGTCAAGGCACAAGCTGAATACACTGAAGCAAATGAGCAAGTGGAGAGGAGCATTAGAGATGACAAGCAGAAATGCGTCGAAGACCTATCGACGACAGTGGAAAAAGCTGCAACAGAAGGAAATATCAAACAACCTTATAAGATACAACAAAGTAACTGGCACGAAAATATGGTAAACTAGAGAGGCTGGTCAAGGACAGAGAAGGAAAGCCAATCACTGAAATCCAAGAACAGAGGAGCAGATGGGTAGAACACTTTGAGGAGCTATTGAACAGACCAGCCCTATTGAATCCATCGGACATCGAAGTAGCAACTACAGACCTTACTATAGATGTCAGTCCACCAACGATCGAAGAAATCAGGATGGTCATCAGGAAAATCGAGAGTGGGAAGCAGAAGGACCTAACAATATACCAGACGATGCACTGAAGTCAGACATAGAAGCAACTAAAAACATGCTCCATGTTCTATTCAGGAAGATTTGGGAGGAAGAACAAGTGCCACAGAGACTGGAAAGAAGGATATCTCATCAAGATATCAAAGAAATTATATGTGAGCAAATGTGAGAACTACAGAGGCATCACACTACTGTCAGTACTAGGAGACGTTTTCGACATTGATATTGAACCGGATGAAAGATTCTCTAGACGTCCAGACTCGAGATAGACAGGCTGGATTCCAAGGAAGTACCAAAGTCAAGCAAATCTGCTTACTCTCTCTTTCTTCTGGTGGTTGACTGGATTAAGAAGACTTCGAGTTATTAGAGTAAATATGAAGTACAATGGACAGCTAGGAATCAATTAGATTTGGACTTCGTAAATAACCTGGACCCTTTATCTCAGACACATGAACAAATGCAAATGAAAACAAACCGTGTAACAGCAGCCTCTGCATCAGTAAGCTTTAACATACACAAGTGGAAGAGGAAGATCCTCGAATACAAGAGAGAATACCAATCCAACCAGACCTGGTGGATAAGCCCTGGAAATGTGGAATCTTTCACGTACCTGGATAGCATCATTGATGAACAAGGAGGATCTGATGCAGATTTGAAGGCAAGGATTGACAAATCAAGAACAGAATTCCTACAGTTGAAGAATATATGGAACTCAAAACAACTTTCAACTGATATCAAAGTCAGAATCTTCAATACAAACGTCAAGACAGTTCTACTATATGGAGCCGAACCTTGGAGAATCACCACAAGCACGATCAAGAAAATACAAGTATTTCTAAACATTCATCAAAAAAAATTATTACTAAACAGTTGTCTACACAAGACACTCAATGTCCGTTGATCGTATACCATCAGCAACAACCTACTATGGGAGAACAAACCAGCTTCCAGCTGAAAAGAAGAGGACGGTGAAAGTGAATAGGATATTCATTGAGGAAATCAGCAAACAGCATAATGAGGTAAGTGCTAACTTGTGATCGTGATAGGAGATGTAAAAGGGAAAGACCAAGGAACACACTATGTCGGGAATTTGAAGCATATATCAAAAGAATGAATAGCAATTGGGAACATCTGGAAAGTACTGCCCAGGACAGAGTTGGATGGCGAATGCCGGTGGGGGGCATGAGTAACCTATGCTTTTGATAGTGATTTCATGAATAGCTTACTGGATTCAGTGCATAACAACAGGGTTTCTTACTGTATGGTGCCAAGAACGCAATTATTTGTCCACAATCAAATCAAGATACACTAATTTGACACTAAGTTTTAACAGTCTAAATACTTTCTATCCCTTGTGGAATTTTGTGATATTTAGGATAGATAACAAATCATCACTAATTTGTGAATTATATTAGGACAGCCCCATAAGGTAGTATTCAGTGAAGTGAAGGATATAAAGCAAAAGATAAAACCATTAATTCTGATTTCGACTGAACGGCTATGACAAAACTCCCCGAGGTATTTATCTTCGTATCCAACACCGATGTTAAACATATTTTCTTGAATTGTTTATACTACTTATGAGTAGCCATATCCTATTACCAAACAGTATTATTTTATATATTTATTTTAACACATAGATATTGGTACAAGGAGGCACCAAATACATATGCGCCACACAAATCTCAATTGATTTGTGTGAGGGCTGTGATACTGCCCGGGTGCCCAGACCGAAGCAGGTGGTTTTCTTAGTGGGCCACAGCCGGAGTCTTCGACCTGAAAGTCTGACCCACAAGGCAGTGGAGTATCGTAAAGAGATGCAGTCCCATGGTAGCCGGTGACCAACGATTGGTTCATACGCCATTTGTTCCTTCAGGACCCATGTGCACCATTGGTTTGGGATCCGGTTAAAGCGCCGGAAATTCGCTCTTCGTCCTCTCATTTTCGTAAACAACACCCCGGCCACGAGAAGGCAGTGAGTAGGACTTCCCTGACAGAGGCT